CGAAAAAGTATTAGGTGTGTCCCGCGCGCTCATATGACCTTATGCAGTTGCAAGCGCCGTAAAACCTTATACTAAACAAACAAACAGTTATGAGTAGGACATTGATGAATCAGCCCATTTACAATTCTACTGAGCATGAACGAGAAATGTCCCCCCTTTGGGAATGGCCTAAAGACACTTCAGTCAGTGGCACTGCCCCAGGGGGTGTTCTATGACTGGGAGACCAGAGTCTTCTTTCTGGTACATGTTTTTGAAGGGTGTTTGAGAGATTGGCCAGTGTGATATTATTTAAACATTTATAACAGAAGACACAAACTTTGTAATACAAAGTAATACTGGGTTGTCTGAGTTACAGTGAAACACATTGCTGTAATGAGGTTTGGACGTATCTATATACATTGATCTGTGAAATGACAAGATAACAGAAAAAAATAAGTAACAAAAGAGAAGGAAACAGGATGTACTGGGGAAAGGGGTGGGATGGGGGACCTCTAAAAAAAACCATGACTATTCAGACGAAAAAGATTTGGAAACAAGTATTGAAACTTTTGCAGAGGCAGGTAATGAACTTGATTGTGGTGAAGGGACCAGCACTGGGATTCTCTGACTAGCTAGATCAAGGTAATTATCAATCATTGTTCTACTTATTCGTGTCACCATATAACTAGCGGCACTCCATTTTGCTCTGCTATGCTGTGCTATGGTGCAGATGGTCCTGGACTGAACCCCAAGAGGGTGTTCTTGAATTATGGGTTGTTTTGGGAATCTTTTATAAACCCAAGGGGACATGGTAGTGTGAGGAGGGGGTGCAGCAGTCTGAGCCCAGACAATCAAGATGCAAGTCATAAATCCAAGTAAACAAAAGGACCATCTTGTCACATACAAAGACAATACTAATGTCTTATTTTAATAATAATAATAAAAAAACAATCATTTCTTTAATTAAAACTTTGTCTATCGATGTCTGAAGATGAGAAATGCATATGTAAAGGAGAATGTTTCTTTAGGAGAAACAGAAGAAATAAGGATTAAGACGACTTGAGAATTTTGCTCCTGGTCAATGAAATAGTTTCTGGCAGAGAAGTTTGCCACATTTTGAGCATTTAAAAGCGTCATTTCCACTTATGGAGGTGTGCAGCGTGCAAAGCTTCTCTCCAGGTTTCAGCATTTCTAATTCATGAAGCCTTACACGATATGCTGCTTTCTGCGATTGCTGCCATCCAACTGACCCATGTCAAGGGATTCATATTGAAGTCCTTCCTGGCCATTTTCAGAGCGCATTTTGAAATACATATCCTAAATTCCTAATTATAAGATGCATCAGCCCAAAGAGCAGCATATTATTATCAAAGAAGGCAAGGTCAGGATAAAAAGATACAAATCATGAAATAAGAGACTTACCTCGGCTGATATTTTTCTCTTCTTGCTGTCACTGGAAGCAGTCTTTGAAGACGGTTGCTTACTGGGCTCCTTTCTCACCCTCTCAGCAGGTTTTTGAGAAAGTTTACTTTCCTCTTTAGAAGAACTAACTGTCTTTGACTTCACTTTGTGTCTGTCATTACTCTTATCGCCAGAATTTTGTTTGTCTTTCGTACTAGGCGATGCACCAAAAAGGCCATCGAGTAATTCTTTCACATCACTTGCAACTCCTTGATTTTCAGGCTCCTCCTTTTCCTCTGCATTTTTTCTCTCAAAGAAATAGACAATCTTTGGTGCAGAACTTGCACCTGCCTTTCCAGTAGAGCCCCCTGACCTCGAGTCAGATTGTTTTTTGTTCGAGTCTCTGTCCTCACTAGTGCTCTCATCCGTGAGGTCAATGACGAGGTCAGAAGAATTGTCAGGAGCTCCATTTACTTCTTTTTGTCTGACAGGTTTTTCTCTACCAGCCGACTTAACACTTGCCCCACTGGTCTTGGAGCCGAAACCTGATCGTGAGTTACTTTCACCTTGACTCTTCGAGCCTTCAAAAACTCTGGCCTTATTAGCTTTTTCGAGTTCTCTGAGCAAAGTAGCAGCAGTTTGAAATACTGATGAAGATGCTGGAGGAGGAGGGGCAGTAACAGGGGGAAGAGGAATATTCCCAACATCGGAGACGGAGGGTCCAGACCGGGAGAGCAGCACATCGCTAGCCCGCTGAAACCCGACATGAGGCTCAGAAAAACCAGTGTCATTGAAGTCATCGCCACCACAAACAACGGGAGCAGCACAGGAGTCCTCGTCCTCCGAGATCGACATATCTGAATCGGCTTTGGATTCAGACTGAGTGAAACAGTCTAATGGTTTGTTGGTGAGGGTAAGTTTGCGAGCCTCTCCAACGAGTTTCATGACTGTAGATTTATATAACACGGCCGATTTGGCAGACTGGAAGGCAGTGTACTCGGCATCTATGGCACATGTACGAGGCTCATAGTCACGGCGCTTTACTAGTTCTGAATCTTCAGAAAAGGCAGCGACAAAGTTTCCATAAAAAGCTTTCTCAATCATTTCAAAACAATGCTCTCTCGTCTGGGGAGGGAAAAAAAACATACATTATAAGCAATTTCAGGAATAAAATCACTTTGGAAACATGAAAAAGCACAAAGTATACTGTCATACTTCGCCTGAAAAAATCCATCTAACTTTTAGGTACAGAAAAACTATTTTTGGGTGGCAATTTTCTCCACTAAACAAAATGTAGAACACAGTGGCTTTCCACAAATGAACAGTTTGAATTTTTAAATCATGAAAAGAAAAAGAACTGAATAGCAGTGAGTAGTTTTTATGAACTATTTGCTCTTCGCAATAGAAAGAAAGGCAGGATGTCACAGTCACTTTGAAATATTGGCTGGGGAGAGAACTGCACCTTTCAATGTTGGCGTAATCAATGCTCTAGACAAATTACTGTCAATGTTCTATTTCACTGACAAAGCTTAAGAGATATAGTCGAATCGGCACTATTGGCCACCTATCCATGACAATCACCTGTACAAACGATCACTCCCTTCCCCCCGTGTGTTTTGTTTTTCTATATTATAATGACACTGTGCAAGACATCAAATTGTCAAAGGTGACCACTTTCTTTTTGACAATAGGTGGCCATCTTGGATAATTTCAAACCTATATTAAGCGACAGAATGATTCAACACTGCCTGTCAAGACATACTTGGGCTGAGTCAGATACAGCAGCCCAGCAGACGAAGGAAATTCTCAACAAAATAACTTTGTCCTCACTGGATTTGAGATCCCATCTTTTGTGTGCAATGGAAAAAAGCCTTACCATTGCACCACAGAAGCTGGTTTATTTCAAACATGTTGGACTTGGACGTGTAAAAGAAAAAATAGTTTCATCTTGTTAGGATTGGGGGGGGGGGGGGCATGGTGAAACAAGTCCTAGCCTCGAATATGCAACAATGAATGAGACAGTCCATTATATGTACATAATTTTCATTCTGTCTTTAGTTTTAGTAGGAGTTTTAATGGCCCTTGCAACACAATAAGGTCATATAAGTGCCGAAGATTAGAGGTGTTATGAGAGAGTAACAAACACAAAAAAGGAGGAGAGATAAGGACAATAGATATTTGATAGGAAAGAAGGAGCAAACCACTCCAGAGCACCGGCCAACCACCCACCTTTTCATTCTCACATAGCCCTTTGGCTATCAGTGAAAAAAGCCAAGAACTCATAGATTTACAGTACCCTTTTAGAAAAACCAACCAAACTTGAACTAGATGGCCCAAAAGACTTCCTTCAGAGGTTTGGTGGAGGGGTTATAACTACACACCAACAGAAGATGCAACCCCTCTAAAAGTTTAATGACACCTCGCTACCCTAGAATTACCAAGTTCTATCTGCTCAGTACCTAGTTGTGAGAAATTTGGCGTAAAAAATTTTGAGTTTCACTACATATCACGATGCTCTTTCGAATGCAATTCTTTGAATATCTTGATAACTTAATAACTCAAAATGGCCAAAAACTGTCATATATAGAACTTTGTAAATCTAAAGTAGTGACCTGCTAACATCTGTATCATCAGCAAGCTGTTTAAATGCAACAAGTCCAGAAAGCAACATTTTTCAGGAGAGATACAAAAAAAAACTTTCACTCTTTTAACAATCATACAATCATACTAATATTGTTTATCTTTTCCTGCCAAAGATTAAAAAACTGTAATCTTTTTAAATTCAGTATTTTGGATTTATCACATCTGAACAGTTCATTGAGGATATATACAAACACCCACACCCACACACAAATGCAGATACTCAGACACACACACAGACACAGACACAGACACATTCCTAGAGATGCCAACCACAGAAAACCGAAATGAGTATTGGGAAATATGAAAATGTGTACTTTCAGGGGAAAATGTGTATTCCCCACCACCGACGGACCAACTAGTAAAATGTTCAGGGTGTCCAGCAATATTTCCTTTAAAAAATTTACTAGCTCACCAGCTCCAAAAAGGGAGCACACACGTGTACAATATACATGTATCCAGTCAACAACATGTCAGTGTTCAGTGTCGTACTGGGGTCTTGTTTGACTTAAGTATTTCAGTCTTTTAAAATATTTTCCTCTCATTATTATATAAAAAATTAATCCTGCTTTGAGCGTTCAGAAGGGCCTAGAACAAGAATTTCGATAATCAAGAACCAGTCTGGGTATCATGATTCATATTATGAACTGACATACTAAAATTATTGCTCAAACTCAGTTTTAGTAGAGGTTTTACGGCGCTCGCAACTGCATAAGGTCATATGAGCGCCAGAAGATTAGAGGTGTCACAAGAGAGTAACAAACATAAAAAAGAAGAAGGGGAGATAAAGACGATAGATGTTTGATAGGAAAGAAGAAGCAAACCACGCCAGAGCACCCGCCAACCACCCACGCTCAAACTCAGAGAAGAGCAATAACTTGAATGGCTCAAGTAGACCCACGCAGTGTGAGAGTTGTAACAACTGTGGGAGGGCAAGATGCAGTGACACTGAAAATCTGCCAGTCTTGAACAGAAAGCTACAACATACACTGTAGGAATAATTTACTAGATTCTAGATCTATTACCCATCCAATGAAACGCGAACAATTTATTTCAATAACACAGACTTGCAAAGTATGAAGGATCCCCGATTCCCCACATGGCCTACACCAACTCGCACTTTGCAGAGAGCTATAATCAAAATTCTGAAATTTGCTTCCAGGTTTTTGTCCTCTGGTGTTGCCATCACCCCCCCCCCCCTCCCCCGAGTGTATCTTTTTAAAAAAATCAATAATCCCCTCCCCTATTCCGTAGTCCTATACTTCGCAAGGCCTTTACTCCCACCAAAGACGGTCTTCGCTCACACGATGCCGCATTTATTTAAGATGCGAATGCACGCAGGGTCATTGACCGGTTACGATGGCGAGCCAGACAATCTAAAAATCGGACGACGCTTGTACTTTCTTTTCTTTTTTCCCCACAAGTGACAGCACAGAGACGAGTCCGAGTGTTGAATAAATTTTATTTACGCGGCAACACAGCGTTTACTCTGCACAACCTGCATTGTCACAAATATTCCGTTATCAGACTACCGCTGGCAAACTTCTCGGTGGCAATGAAAGCGAAAGTAGATCTTGAACTTGATTTTCCCTATCGAGCCTCGGTGTCACATACACTTCCGCCTGCCGCCATAGCTGCCTCTTCGCGTTAAAGTGAAACATACTCTCGGATGGTGAAAAGCTGAACGAATATAATATCACAATCGCGATCGGCAAAAATGAACTTACTGACGTTATCGGAATTGGTTTTCAAATATTCCAGTTCCGCGATACTGAAACTATTTTGACAAAAGATGGGACTAGAGATAATTAGGTTTACTCGACCAAGCTGAATCTCGTATTTTTCGCATTCCAGGATGCGTATTTTTTCATGAAAAGTCGTATTCGCGTATTTTCGGCCAAAAATCGTACTAAAATATGTAAAATCGTACTGGTTGGCATCTCTGCATTCCCAAAAGAGAAGTGCACCCACATCCACCCGAAGTCTGAAGTCATAGGATCAATCTCAGTCTCTGTCTTACCTTTATCAAAAGTTTAGGCACTCTTTTATTCTGTGGGTCCCTCAGAGGGCAGAAAGGAGACGGCATTTCTTCTTCTTCATCTTCCTCCTCGTTATTGTTAGAAACCTGAGGAAAATAACAACATTTTTTAAAAAAGGAAAAATATTCTAGAGGCACATACTTCAAAAAGAACAATTTCAACAAGTTTCAGAATTTCACTTCATATCTGTTCATCTTTAAATTTTCATAACATCACTCAAAGACCATACTTTGCCGTGAGCTTCACAGTATTAAAGACTGACATCATCAATATGTTAAGAAAGCGGTCTTTGTCATTTATCGTTGTTTTCAGAAAAAAGCTGAGTCCTATCCCGTACAGATTCCTAATTTCTGACTTTCAGTGTTATTGTCACAGCTGTTAAGGCTGTTAACAAATCTTCCCTTTGAACCCAAAAATAGTAAATGCCAGGGTTCAGTTCAATTTCAATTTGTACAAATTGCTATTTTCACCACTGGAATTCAGCTTTTTCAAAGAGATTTACATCAAAACCAAAAAAAATAAAGTTAGTACAAGGTAGCATTAAGCTCAAATTAGGCTATTATCATAGCACGTAGACAATAGCTTTATTCTAAAACTTACACTGATATAAACAGTTGAAGACTATTATTAAAAGAAGAGCATAAAAACCCACTAGTCTAAGAGCTTGAAAATTACCTTCACTCTATCTTTACATTCTTCAGAGATTAACAGTTCCTGTCTCAAACCTACATTTTTCTTTGAAGTATAACAATAAGTCAGACTTCCACTATGTGCAAAAGCATTTAATATAAAAATATGAAAATAATTTGAAACAAAGCACAGAAAAAATGGATTTTGACAGGAAGCTGAAATATATAGAGTAAGAGTTAATTCTTGCACAGACCAATGACATTTTATGACCCAATCATTGAATAAAGTATCAAAGAAGTTTTGTTACAGAAGTTCGTCTAGACAGATAAAAACTGTTAGTTCGGTACATATCATATCGAGCAAGACTGCGATAAAGATGACCCTGGTTAGAAATCCTAGTGAGTCATTCTTGACCTGGGGAGCTTTGGGAAGATTTTCCTGCAGAGGTGCAAATTGGCTACAAAAGAAAAATCCAGAACATTTAAGACCTATGTGGAAACGGATGCGCTGGGTCTCAGAATTCATGGATCATGTAATGTCTTATACATCTTGGATTTTTAAAAAGGGACGGAGAGAATGAGAGAGAGAGAGGGAGAGAGATGGATAGAGGGGGGGGGGATGGGGGGAGAGAGAGATCCAGATAATTTCAGAAATCAGGATTTCAGGACTTCCAGCTTCATCCAGAAAATCGGCACCTGTGTTCATGGCTCTCCATTCACTAGACTTGATCCAGTTGGAGATGGACGTAAAATTGGAGGCAAGTGTTTTAAAATAGCCTTGCAGCTCTGAAAGGGGTATCAAACCCACACTCTATCACAATAGGTCCACATACCTTCCCTCCTTTTCTCTTTTTGAATTCCTTCATGATCAGACTTGTCCTCTCCTTCTTTTGTCGCGAGGCCTCCTCCCTCTCCTTGTGGTACTCTCCCCCCTCATCACTGCTGCCAGCACCACGGTCATAATCGTCTGTATCTCTGCAAGAAGAGCATTTGGTGCACCATGGTTCACACAGTAGGACACTTGAAAAATGAGGCAATAACAAGTTATACTAAACCCTTGCAGTAAATTTTCCTATCTAAGTGTCTGATAGCTGTGACCATGTCAACTATGATCAAACTGGTCAGAATGGGACATATCACAGAAGAATGACAGAGACATTCATTGAAATAGTTTCTGAACATGGGAATCAAACAAATGTTGACTTGCAAGGTCAAGAGCCTAACCACTACACCAGACTAAGGTATACCCAAGTGTGTACAGGATAAATCTAAAACTAGGAAGTGTGCATGGGGTAAATCTGAAACTGGGTTGTTTAGAAAGTACACTGGGCTCTCCATTCACCTCATTGTATCAAGGATGGACATTACTTTTGAGGTTTCACCTCGGAAGTAACCTAAGCCGCGTTGAATTTGAACTTATATAACTTGATTTCCTATAAACACAAAAATCACATGCTACAGTTAGGAATATAAGGATGCCAGCTTGCAAATTCAACAATTAATTTTTCGACCGTTTTGGAGATAACAGTCTAAACCATAAGCTTATGAAGAATTCAAAACTTAACCCCCCCCCCCAAAAAAAAACCCCCAACAACAGTGGCCTTAGAGACATACCGTAGGCAAACCACAAATACATACTTCTTAGCTCCGCGCCGCCCGCCCCCATACATGTTGCGCTCCTCCTCTTCATTCATCACCATCATGGCTCCGCCAACTCCCGACTTCATGCGAGTGTTGATTGCACCACGCTGCATGTTCAAGAGGTCTATTTCCACCTTTTTAGGATCCCGACACACATCACAGGCACGCTCACAATCTGGCTTCTCATCACCAAAGTACTCGGACAAAGACCAATGGCGACATCTGTGATCAAAATGGAAGTGACACCTTTTACATTTCCTCACCATGACCACTTAAGGTGAACATACAAACACCCTCAATTCCTCTGCATACATGTTTGGGTGAGGGAGTGTGCATGTGTGTTTGTGTTGTGTGCAGCCCTTGCAGTAACTTGGGAGGGTGCATAATCACCTGAGATTTGGGAGATCTTCCCTGTATTCGCACAACACAAAAAACAAAAAAAACTCTAGTTCATTTGCGTCAGTGCTGTTCAGTACGACACAAGCCCATTTTTCCCAAGAACTTTTTTGGGGTTTGTTTTACTTTGAATTGATTTTGTCTTTAATTGTAAATGTTTCCAAAAGTCATTCATATACATTCACTTCTGTCAATATTTCAGAAGCATAAGGGGCACAAAACTGTGCATAAATTTTGACCTGGTCTTAAATAAATAATACAAATCCTTTAGAGGGAAAGCATGAGGCTAAACTTTTCACAACTTCGTAATAACATGACCAGTGTGCCAGTCAATTCTACTGTACCATTCAAGTCTCTTAAACAGACGAACAGCTGATGTCCAAACTTATAAAAAAAAGATAATATAACGGTGACGATAATGATTATAATAACAACAATAGCAATAACAATAATGTGAATTAATAAAGCGTCTAACCCTTAAAATTCTCTAAGCGCTGTACAATGAACATTTATCAATAAATACACCTGACAAATCAAAAGACAGAAAAAATTCATTTGGAAACCATTTAACAACACACATTATAAGTACACACACGCACACACACACACATACACGCGCAATCTAACATACAAATACGACTGGTAGAAGAGAGCGTTGAATAAATATCTTTTTTTCTTTTTCTTTAACTCTCTCTTTCATGACAAAGAACGCGTTTCTTCTGGAAACACATCTAGAGGGACCCAGTTACATAACTCAAGTAACACAGAAATCAGTATGAGGTAACTAAGGGCACATATACACAGCAACGTTTTTCAACCAAAAATTTGACTTAACACATACTTTGTTGTCTATCTTAGTAGCTTGATTCAAATACCCAATATGTTATAAATTAGTAAAGATGGTGACAAAATATCTTGCTCCCTTCACTTCTAGAATTTTTATCTCCTAAACTTTTATCAACTGTTCGTAGCACAATAAACATCAGATGAAACCTCCCCCCCCCTCCAAAAAACCCCCCAAAAAACCCAGCTTTCAAAAGTTCTGTCAAAACATCCATGATAAATAAACGTTGGAAAAAAGGGAAATGTATAAGTATCTTTGACTCAGCAATGAGTTAAAGATCTGAAAATAGCAAAACCATCACTTCAGCTGCTACGCTTCTCCTAACAGAGAACAAGCAAATAAGAACTTACTTCGGAGTTTCACAAAACTTGAGCAGAGCGCTGAAACTGTCCTCAGCAGCTTTGGCTTGTAATTTTGCCAACTGCAAATTTTTCTGTGAAAAGCAAGATGTCAAACATATTTTCATCCCAGTAAAATTAAATTTAAGTGGAAGAATCTACATCTCTTGCAAAATGTTTCATGTTTCAAAAAGATTTAGTACATTCAGCATCCTCAGCAGAACAAGGATTTTATTAAATTCACAGGTCTAAGCAAGAACTGAACCACAACCATCTAAGTCAAAATAGCAAAACTATTTTAACTGGATCCATTCAATTGATGAAAGGCGCCAAACAAGATAAGTTGGTATTATGATCAGTCATGATGAAGATTTACCCAAAGGGGTGTTCTTAAAGTAGCCTACATCAGGCTTTTAATCCTATCTGAGACATAGATTAAATTCGAAGGTCTTGCCTCATAAATAATCTTACAGTGATAAAAGAGGTGCTAAAATTATACAGTACCAAACTAAAAGCATTTATAGAACAATATTGTCACCAGGCTGTTCAACTGTTTCAAGCCTAGAAAGCAACATTTTACAGGAGAGAGAAAAAAAACTACTCCATTTTAAAAATAAATTAACTTATATTATGTATCTTTTCTCGGGTTGTAAAAAAAAAAAATCAAAATCAAGATTTTGAATTTCAACAAAATATTTCTCAAGCACATGCAATCTATGCCACAGGTTAATTATTCAAAATTTTGGGTCCAGTACATCTGAAAAGCTGGCTAACAATACGCAGTATTCGTGTTCATAAGTTGAGTCAGAACGTACTATTCTAACCAGAAGCTCAAATAAAAATAAAAACAACCCCGTCTGTACCTTGGGTTTGTTGTTCTCTGTAGCAATGAGGAAAGCCACAGTTTCCTTCTCCCTGTGGGAGTAGTACAGTCGACACCATGAGGGACAATTGTCTCTCCCCGCTCTGCCCGACTCCTGGTAGTAGCCTGCCATTGACTTGGGCATAGTCCAGTGAGCCACAAATCTAGACATAATGAATGGACATGACAAAGACAGACAAGGTAAGAAAATCACAATTTTGATCAATGGCCATGACAATCTGTTCTGATTACCTCATCATAAGGAAAGCTACACGCGGCTGCTTATTACAACAAAATTAGATTGGACTAAAGAGAAGCACACTGACAAAATAATGGCCATTTAGAGCTGGGAAAAAGTAAGACTGATTGACAAAAACAACTGAGGGAGAGTAAAGAAGAAGGACCTACAAGTGGTGCTCTCCAACTACCCACAATTCATACACCTAGCTGCATATTACAGAATAAGTTTGGTTTAAATAAAGAAAAATACATTGACGCAATATTGGCTTTTTAGGGAAGGGAAAAAGCAAGACTGATTAAGGGTGTCCTCCAAAAATCCAGAAAAACCAAACGAGAAAGACTGCTTCCTACTCCCACATGGCATCTGCACTTTTACACTTACAGCATCATAACACTTTTTTGGCTTTCCCTACAGTAACAGGTTTACCATTTGTTGGGAAAATGTTAAGGACTGCATGGTCAGAATTTTAGCAAAATCTAGTGAAAAGATTATGTACTACACGTACCTTAAGGTACAATACAATGGTCCCCTAACCTCAAACAGTTATTTTCTTTTCTTTTCTCAGACACCTGGCACACGTTACCTCACATCTAATATAAGAACTACAATGTCAGAGTTTTGCATATTAATGTCCAGCATCTGATGTTCACTCCACTCCTTAAGTCCTATCCATATATCACTACAAGTGACTGGGACTATGACTTTTTTCACTTCTAAATAAAAATTTAAAATTTGAAACTAGCAATTGCAAGTTGAAGAAGAATAAACCTGCTGCCGGTACAGAATTTCAAAATTTATCTCTTGCTAAAACCCAATAGACTTTACTCTGTAAGAATAATTCAGAGCATCGTCTGAAGAAAGTTAAAAAAACAAAAAACAAATGACAATATACAGAAAAGTCGGTAGCCTGGTGGTCGGAAAAAGCTTCCTGTTAGATCTGGCAGGAGAATGGAGAAGAAGAAGAAAGGCACAATCAAGGGAACAACCAGCCGTACACTCTTACCTGACATTAGCTTTGTCAACTCCCATGCCAAAACTGATTGTCGCTGCGATGACAGGCACACGTCCTTCCATCCAGTCAGTCTGGGTCTGCTCCCGGACATCTGTCTTTAGTCCTGCATGGTAAGCCTGAGTCGGTAATCCCTTTCTGGTTAGCTGACAAGCAATCTCCTCACAGCCGTCACGTGTACGGCAGTAGACAATGCCACAGCCCCTGTCATTCTGGCACCGGAAACGATTGCAAAGATGTAAACTATTGCATCAAACAAAAATTTAAAATTACAATCCATCAATATTGTACGGTAGTATTCTAGACAATAAATGCCAAAACAACACACATGCAGTTGGATAACTCAAACATGTCAGGGACTGACAATTAATGTGCTCGATACATCTATAAGTCGGGGAAAAAAATTAAACAAAAAATTAAAGAGATATTGAAGCAAATCAAGAGTAATAACTGTGATAGGACAGTGGCTGAAAAATAGATCACTGTAAAGGATTTACAGTAGCAGATTTTCAGCACACAGCTTTTTGAGTGACACCTTGCATCTTTTTGAACATGTCTAACCAACCTGTGTTGCATGTGAGGTCAAGGCCAAATTCCTTTGCAATTTTGTCTGCTTTTGTCAAGAAGATGAGACCAGAGATGTGTGCTTGCTGAAACCATAGAAACAAAACCAGCTCAATGTTCTAAAATTAGATCAAACGTGCTTGCTTTTTTTTTTCTTCTTCTGGCTGGCCTCCGTTAGGAGGGCGGCAGTCTGCTGCAGGCAGACAGGTAAGCGGCAACCTCTTGTGGCCTCGTCCAGAGTACATCCGGGCCCGGTCTCGCGTTGTTCTCCATAAGTGGGCCTCGATGTGCTTCCCCCCGCAGGCACTCATGCAGTGCGTGCTGCAGGTCGTCAGGACTTCTGCCACACACCAGACAGGAATCATTGGGAGCGGAGCCTATTGCTGCAGGATGGGGCTTTTCGCGTTGCATCTTAGCTGCGATAACACTCTTCTCTGTCTGACGGTAAGGTCTTTCTCTTTGTCCCTCTCAGGTGGTGGCTTCACCTTTCCCCCGAAGGAGTCGTGCACTCGTGCTTTCTCCCATGCGTGGGCAATGATGTAACGTGAGATGCACGAGCTTGCTGATGCAATATCGACTGGAGTGTTGGACTGGTCGAGGCGGCCTCCCTTGTTGGCCAGGGCGTCAGCTTGGTCGTTCCCGTAGATGTCGCAATGTCCTGGTATCCATTGTATGTGAAGGTGTCCGTGGATTTCACATCATTGGCAGATAGTGGTCCACATTTTGTCCTCTATCTCAGTACCAACTGCAGTCACTTCGGACATTAAGTGTTGAACAACTGACTGGGAGTCTGTGAAGATGTGGATTCTTTGAAAACGTGGTTGTTTTTCGAGCCATTGCAGTGCGCAGAGCAGGGCGGTAGTTTCAGCTCGGTAGCTGCTTCCGTATAGTCCAGCGGGCACGGATACGCATGTTTCCTCCCCAGAAGATTTGTCTAGACACCAGTATCCTCCTCCACATAACCTGTAGCCATCAGTGGCATGGCCGTCAGTGAAGATATCGAGGTCGGACATAGGCAATCGGCGTACAGTCTCGAGAGCTGCTTCACGTCGCATATTAGGTGGATCTGTCTTTGTCGTAGACACTGCAAGTTTTGAGTTGATTGTGAAGTTGCAGGGGGTCTTCCACGGGGGAGTTGTACTCACTGGCCGTAGGGGCTCTCGGATTAGATGTTCTAGTCCCGCGTTATTAGAACTCTGTCGGCCCACTTCTCTCCAACTGTTGATGGACTTTAAGCGTATTTTTGATGTTCCTTCAGCTGGGGTACGGATAGGGTTGTCTTCTGGGACTCTTCTTGCTCTCTCGTATGCCATAGCAGTTGCAATGGTAGACTTAACCTCAAGTGGGATCAGGCCAGCTTCGTTTGTGAGCAGCATTGCATTTGAGTCTCTCGTACACCCGGTAATTATTCTGGCTGACGAGTTTTGAATAACATTTAAGGTCTCACGATTTGTTTTGGCCTATGCTGGGAACCAGGCTGCATGGACATACTGGATGGCTGATCTGATGTACGTGATGTACACCATACGTAGATCTTCTTTGCTGCATCCCCAGTCTGTGCCGGAGAGCCTGCGGAGGAGATTGACTCGGGGGGGCCAGTTTTTTCTTTAATTTATTGACATGTTCTTTAAATGTTAACTTGCTATCAAAGGTCACGCCAAGGAAGGTAGGTGTTTTGTTATAGGGCACCTCCTCATCTCCCATTGTAAACTGGGTGCGCCAGGACATTTCACGGTTCCATGTCGTGAAAAAAGAGTATTCGCATTTCGCCACGTTAATTTCCATCTTCCAGCGTTTTTACCAATCGCATATCTTGTCCAGAGCGGCTTGAACCATCGTGGCGGCAGTGTCAAGATTTTCATGGGATGCCCATATTGCCAGGTCGTCTGCGAAGAGGCTGGTGTTGGTGTCTACGGGTAGGTCATCTATGATGTCGTTGATGTACATGAGGAACAGTAGTGGTGATAATACTCCGCCCTGAGGGACGCCGGCGAGGAAGCGATAGTAGCGAATTTCTTTTCCCTCAAAACGAACTCTGGACCATGTGTCGTCTAGATAGGCCTTGATCTGTCGTTGTAGACAGGTGGGCATTCCTAAGGCGTTTATCTTGTAGAGGAGTCCAGTATGCCACACCTTGTCAAAGGTTCTTGAAAAGTCTATTAGACAGAGTATGGTTCTCTTTGCTTTGTGTCCTGGTCCAGAGTTGTCCTGAAAGTTGTCGGCTATGTGTTGCGTTATCCTGGCGATCTGGTCCTCTGTGCTAAGCTGTGGTAGAAAACCGGCTTGCATATTGCATAGTTCTTGCTGGGTTTCCAACCAGAACGTCATTCTCACTTTTACTAAGTCTCTCGTATAATTTCCCAATGCAGCTTGTTAGTTGGATGGGTCTGTACGAGGTCATTTGGGCAGGGTCCTTCCCTGTTTTGAGGATAGGAATTATTGTACCTTTTCGCCAGGCTGCTGGGTATTGGGCAGTTTTCCACACTCTATTGTATTCAAGAGAGAATTCAGGCCAGCTTCAGGAAGATGGGTCAGCATCATATTGTGGATTCCGTCATCTCCTGCAGACGTATTTTTGAGAACTTGTAGTGCAGCATTGAGTTCTGCCATAGTCAGGGGTGAGCATATTCCATTCTGGCATTGGCATGTTGTTTTCATTGCTGTGTAGTTACTTCGATGCATCTTGCGATCAATGTTAATAGTTTCTCCTTTTGCTTCCAGTTCAGCCTTTGTGTCACTCTTGATACAGGAGACCTCACAGTACATCTGGGCAAACTTCTTTGCTTTCTTTGCATTGTCTGTTATCGTCTGTTGGTTAACTATTAGAGCAGCTACTTGTGGTGATGATCTAGATTTCCCATTCAGGGCATTCACAGTTTACCATATTTTGCTTAGGTTGCTGCGCGAGTTTAGTGTCGATACGTAATCTTGCCAGCTTTTCCTTTTTGTTTCTCGGATGATGCTTCTGGTCTTGGTACACTGTTCCCGCCATGGTTTGCAATGAAGCTCACTGTTATTTGCTAGTTTTCTTAGTCTAGTACGCTCGGTAACAGCTTCTTGTACTTCTGAGTTCCACCATGCGGCTCTAGTTCCACTGCATCCATTGGGGATTGTAGTTTTTGCTATCTTGGCGATGATATTAGTCAGTATACTGTTTTGGGCATCAGTAGATTTTGCCTGAGCAATCTGTGGTAGATTTTCATTGAACTCTAACTCCAGTAGCTCCGAGTATCTTTCCCAGTCTGCCTTGCGCAAGATCAGATGTTTTCTAGGTTTTGGTTTTGTCTTTACTTTTGATAGTTTGATAGTGAGAGCAATTTGAATAGGAAGGTGGTCAGATCCCGTGGAATTTTCCAGAACTTCCCATTCTGTCTTTAGCATAATGTTCGTATGAGTGATGGAGACGTCAGGCGTTGACAGGCCGCCTGTGGCTGGGTTAACTCTTGTGTGGGACCCGTCATTTATAACCATCCTTTCATTGGAGTCCACCCAATTTTCTATATCAAGTCCTAGAGCATTTGAGGGCTGGTACAAGTCCCAAGTGTCGCTGTGTCCATTTAGGTCCCCTAGTATCATAGAGTTTTCGGAGGTTGGCCAGTATGCTGGGCTAAAGTGTTGTGTTCTTTGATCTTCTGCATTGGCAGTGATAGGAGGAATGTACACATTTGTAATTTGGAACTCCTCTTTTCCGTTGCAGATATTAAAGGAATGTGTCTCCGTGGTGTTATCATTTGGGGCCCGGTATGATTCGGTTATGTTTTTATGTTGTATGCCAGATTTTATCAGACTTATGATTCCTCCTCTGACTGTGGTATCCTGCCTGGTTCGGGTGACAGTTTGATTTGTCTTGATGGAGTTAAAACCTTTGAAGGTTGGACAGTAATCTGGTTTAAAGTTTGTTTCCTGAATGATAAAAATGTCAATATCACGTTCTTCTGCCAACTTTGCCAGTTCGGCGCATTTCTCGGTGTTGAGTCCGTTGGCGTTCAATTGAATGATTCTGAGTTCAAAACTTGGCTGTGACTGAGTTTGCGACAGTTGGGGTGGTTGTGTTTGTGTTCCGGTAGGCGCATTGCGACGCAAATGTTGGGAATGTTGGGGCATAAGGGAGCCGATTCGGATAGGGGACGGCACGGAGCAGGCCAGGCAAGTCCAAGCGTGGTTGTGGGAGAGACGTCGAATTTCTGGGATTGATAGACCACTGCATTTGCTGTGTATCCATTTGGCACAGGTGGTGCATCGGATCGAGTAATCCCGATTGGTCACGTTCCTGTTGCATATTGTGCATGGGTACATGTCATCAGGTCCAGGGTTGATTTCCACGTCACCGGCCATTATTAACAGGAGACTCAAATCAGCCGGTTCGGCTGAGCCTCCGGACAAAAACTCGGTCGCCTCCGTTCCTGTCTGAATCCAGACGTGTTGACATCCAAAACCGGCATTTTCTATTTTGTCACAATTTTTTAGAAATGAGGAAAGTGCTGATTTGAGGGTACCAAATCTCTTACAAATGTTTGACTTAGGGCAGAAATTTGTCAACCTCTGCTAAATTCTGACAATATGTTTCTGTTGTGAGGTAATATAAGTTTTCATTTTTATTTTTTCTTCAGGTAAGTCTTTTACGATGCTCGCAACTGCATAAGGTCATATGAGCGCACGGGATACATTAAATATTTTCAGTTGGTACCCTACTCTTATCAATTTTGGACCACCAAGGGATCCTGACTGTGCGCGACTTGCACACGTGAAGGCTAAAGTTAGATCTTACCTATCATAAGATCAGGGGTGCGGCTGAAAGACAGTGGTAAGAAGGGGGCCAAGGAGTAGAAGGCTGCAGAAAAAGTTAGGAGCCCAGAGGAGGGGGCAAAGGAGATGAGTGAGAGGGGGCAGAAAGTGGAAACGAAAGCAAACGACAGAACATTGTTAGAGAGTAGGAAAGGATGTGGAAGGAGAACATTTTAAAGAGGAAGATTTTCCGTTGCTATCCGGATTCAAACCCGGGACCTATTGAATATTAACCTCTAGACCATGAGAGCCCCCTCATTTTCCTGCTATCATGAAAAACACCCATTATAGATAAAAAGACAAGGACTGGAAAGTGTGTGCACCTTGATCGGTGTCAAAGCTAGAGAAAGGAAGAGCATGTGGCTGAAAAGCCTTCCACAAAAACAATATTGCTCTTACGTCAAATCACAATCATCACACTGTAACCAATGCCAGTCAGAGCACACCACCCACACATCTTGGGTCATCGTTGTAATCCATACCTTCATGTTCAAACAATCACACATACATACACACACACATATACCTAATTCACACCCAACGAGGCCCAATGCAGCATCGTACTGTCTGTCTTCAGTCACATCCGACCACACAGTACCCACCCTCATACGACTAGATTCAAAGAAGTTCTAATGCCTTATACACACTAGCCTACAGGTAGCATGTGATGACAAGTCTTGATACCAGCAGTGCATGCATCACATTGTGTGAGGGCAAGCCTGGTGGGCTCATATACCTAATTATCTCAAAAATGATGTGTGTGTTGTTTTCCATCATGCAAGGGCGATTTGACTTTGAGACAATAATTGAGGGGACAGGTGTTTGAGTAAACAGTGTTGTCAATACAAAGAAAATATAGCGGTTCATTTGGGGAATAACATATTTAACAAGCTGTCTGTGACTTCGAATTTTGCAAGTTCATGTTATCTGTGCCAGATTGTATATATATTATTTGCATTTCTTAAGGTTGTTTTGGGGACATATTTTACTGGGCAATTCTGGAAAATCAACTCGACACATCAGCGTAGGTTAGAGTACAATTTTGGCAGTTGTAGTTCAAGATGCACTACATGTAGAAAAAAACTGCACATTCACTTTGTAAGGAACAGAACAAACAAATATTCTTACCCAGGTCTCCCCATCAGTAAGTTCACCACCCAGGCACCTGCGAGCAAACTTGAGGAGGTCCGTGTACGGGTCTGGTAGGAATTCTTTTAAACACACCTGCCACAAACATGATTTGTGGATAGTTTAAAATTATTAAATACATTGTACAAAGAAAGCGATTAATTACTGTCTCACTTTCACTGAATGCAGGTGTACATACTCCATTTAAAAAGTCACACTGAAAACCCAATAATAGTTCTTCATGCAAGTAAGAAGATTCGAAGACAACTTCAAAGAAAAAAGAGTACAAATCTTGATATAAGGGAAAATTGCCAAAAATAATCCCAAGAGGAAAAAAAATCCCCATCTTAATACAAGGAAAAGTCAAAAGTTTCCACAAAAAGAGAATACCATATTAATAAAAGAAAATAGCTGACCAAAGTTTCCAGAAAACGTGCAGAGCATTTTAAAAAAACATGAAAATTACAAAAGACAGTTCAAAGCACAACTTATGAAGGAGTGAAAACAGTTTCTAAAAAGACTATGTTTGATCTGCTAAGATCAGAAAACTATGAAATAAACATTGAACTTAGAACTGCAGTTAACCTATTATGATATGGGTCTGAAGATATAATATTATATTATATATATATAATATTATATTATATATATATAATACAGAGAGTCCAAAAAGTCGCGTGCCATCCTGAAACACACTTATTGTTACAGATGCTCAAATTGAGCACCATTCTCATTAATACAAGTCTGCTGAACATAACAACAATTTCAATTCTTTCTTCAAGACTTAGTTTCTCTGACATTTCTTTTTTCACTACTCAGCTTCTCAATCATTCATCCTGAAACAGAAAGAAAAAACACATTTTAGGATGGTGCACGACTTCTTGGACACCCTGAGTGTATATTTAATGAGAGACAGTATCCTGTGAAGCATACCTCATAGAAAAGATTCTTCCTGAAACTGCTGATCTTGAAGCGCAGTAGCTGTTTTCGTAAATCAAGTTGTTTTATAATGTCAGTGACCACTTGTGAAGTAGCTGTGGCAGTGAGAGCTATGCAAGGAACCCCTGGAATCTTCTTCCGAAATTCTCCAAGCTTGAGGTAGTCTGGTCGAAAGTCATGGCCCCACTGGGACACACAATGTGCCTCATCAACAACAAAATAAGAAATTAAGTCTCTGGAAAAAAGAGAGTCCACCAATCCACGAAAACTGTCAGTAGCTGCCTGTTCAGGTGTGATATACAGCAGTTTTATTCTCGGCTGCTTGGACAACAAATCCGCGACAATTCGTTTGCGCTCTTTGGCCGTCAACTTTGAATTGATGGTGTCAGCTCGGATGTTTAGCTGTTCCAGGTGATCCAACTGATCTTGCATCAACGCAATCAGAGGAGAAACAACGAGGGTGATTCCTCTAGCTAAAACTGCTGGAAGCTGATAGCAGAGAGACTTACCTGCCCCTGTTGGCATTGAAACGTACACATCATGTTCACCTGGAAAAGAAGACAACATGGGGATGGTCAAGAGTGTCACCACTGCATATCAGTGATATCATCTTAGCAAGACATAGTCACAGTGCATTATTAGAGGCAATAATGCATTTGCTGTGGAGACATTATTTTTGCAGCACCCCATTGACTATAGAGCTGTGAACTCTTGGCACATAAAAGGGGATCTGTTCTTTCGTAAAATAATTTTTATACACAAGTTATTATCTCAATACAATCCTTAAAAAAAAATAATTAATTAAGAATAAAATTTCATTGGTTTGCCCCTTAAGCCCCAGGGCTCTAAGTCCCACTAACTGAATATCACTGGGGTCTTGACCTCGCATGGCTCAAGGCCAAGACAAAGCAACTGATGGTTTCATTAGGCTCGGGAGCAGAAGCCACACTGTGTCACATGATTAGGCCTAGCATGCTTGACACTTGACGCGAATTTGTACACCCTCGCGTCTCTACTAAGCCAAAGCATACTAAGCTCCCCCGTGTGCTCTTTGAAGCCGTGTTAACCTGATGATGCCAATGGGATAAGATTGTGTGTGCACACTGGAATGACGTTTTGAGCGTGTTGACTGATAGTGATCCCATGCATGAGTACTGTGTTCACTTGTGTACCGTGTGTGGAGATAAGAAAAACAATGAGAGCAAACACCATTGTACTGTATCGATGAGTTGAGATAGTTTTTAATTGGAATCTTATGTTTTTTCTTCAATGCAGCAATTTATCATGAAGAATAGTGATTGGAAATTCGTTTTAGTTCTTCATTACATGAAGCTATGCTAAGCTCACTGTCAAGATGTTGAAGAAACTAGGACCATGTCAAACAGCAGAATTTTTGCATCCTGTTGTGGATAGAAAGCAAACAAGATATTTTAATCATGAATGGTTCACCATGAACGAATGCACCGTTCAATCAAAACTTCATCAGCATATTCGCAAAACATAAAAGCCGAAGGACACAAACAAATCAGGTACATGTGTAAAGACGCACTGATGAGTACATTTTCCTGGATTCAAACAAGATATTGTTATTGCAACTAACGCTAACGAGATTATAAGATTTTTGTATTTAGGTACATTTTCATGTTGTTATTTTTTTATCAGTCATTATGTGTTCTCTTATAATCTGAGTGATTTCAATGTTTGGTTACGGCAAGCCCCATCCTCTTTACAACCCACCGGAAGCTACAGGGACGGAAAGATTAGATTTAGAAAATAAAAGGAAAGGATAAAACAAACCAATCATTTCATGACTTTCCTTACAAGATCTTTTAAGTTGATGCATTTTGCATATTTATAGGTGGTTTTTATAAAAGCCATTTCCGGTTTAGAAAATAAGTTACTTCTTTGTGAATTTTATGTCAAACAAATTCCTTTTGGATGAATTAATCTTTTCCAAATTACAACATTCTAGTACAAATTTTGTGCGAGATAATCAGAAAAAAAGATCTTGTAAGAAAAGTCATGAAATTTACTTTTTAAAATCTAATCTTTCCATCCCTGTAACCTTTAAAACAATATTTCTTTTCTCTTACAAAGTTTAAAAAAAAATTTTTTTTTAAATTCTGGAATTTCAAGGACCACTTACAGTGATGGCAAAACACAAGGATCCACTCAACCATGAGTACTCAAAGCCACACACACTGTGCACCTTACAGTATGGAGCTGTTTCTAGAGACAATAGGCGGAGGGTGGTGAGGTTGCCCAAATATACAAAATTTGTGGAGTTGATATAACCTGAAAGGTGAATATGGGTTTCGCCAAGGAACCAAATGTCATAGAGGAATGTTCACGCTTTTCAAGATGATCGAGGTGTCATGAACACATTGCTATCATCTTATAGCTTCGCAAACGGGACAATGGTACAGTCGTAGATGAAGATTGCCTTGAGAATGCAGACAATTAAGATGAAGGGAAGTCATTGCTGCAGACATCGTCTACGGACAGACGTCTTACGGGGCTCATCTAGGCCTACTGAATTCTGCACCCTGGTAATGTTTAAAGGGGTGCGACCTGTGTGTGTTTGAACTGAAGTGGTCGTTTTGTTTGGGAATGTTTAGTTCTGATTCTCTACAGGCCCTAACTGAAGGACCATTTCCACCCTTGACATCAAAGAAGACCTTAAAGGCACTCAAACATTATTTCCGTGCCTTGCGAAATGAGTTGGTGGTCAGGGTAAGTTCAATGCAAAAAGCTTTCTATTTTTAGTGGTAGGCCTAAGGCGAACTAGTGAATCATACTACAAAAATGGGGACATAGCTGAAAACGGGTTGATTTTTTACTTGCTGTGTAAAGCAAAAAACTATTCTGTGAATTTATCTGAAATGAATATCATCAGACAAATTCCTTTTGACTTCCAAATGTTGTGTCCAAATTTGAAACGCAAAACTTCATTGTGGAGGAGAAATATATACAAAAAAAGTTGTACAGTTTATTTTTATTTGATCACTCTGTAAATTAGACTGCAGCTCCATGAAATGCACGTCTACCTGCAAATAATACAAAGAGGTCCCAGTTGCACAAACGTCAGAGGCTGTAACACAAGATGACAATAATTATGATGGAGACGAAGATAGCATGTCCCAAAAAGATCCCTTCTTGTCATAATGAATGTTAACCGAAATTGTTTTGTCTACACATGAAATGTCATCGACTTATGGTGACGGTCTTCTTCATCTTCTTCTCCCCCCCTCGCTTTCTCCCATCTCATGCCAATTGTTTCTCTTTAATTATATAGCTAGTTCCTGTGGTTGCTAGTATCGATTACTCAATGTACAATACTACTCTAATTTTTTGGCTCCCTTAAAAAAATCAGAGGGTTTAGGTCTCAAAGTTCTCCAGTTAGGATAAGAAACGTAAGTTTTAAGGAACAGAGTGCTGTGCAGTGGTGTAAGATTAGTGTGTTGTGAGATATGGCGTGCAATTCTGAATAGTTTGGAGTCAATATATATGGAACACCTAATAATGCCAAATGATTATAGGGAGTCGACTCCCAATAATCACTTTGATCGATATAATATTAGACTAGATCTATAATTAAACTAGATCTAGATCTAAATATCAAGAATCTAGATCTATTTTAATTTCGATACTAGATCTATAGGCCTACCATTAAACGGCATTTTAAACTAATTTCCTCCTTTTCGATTCATGCCGATTTTGAGTGTTATAGAGGAAGGTTTTCTGGTTCGACATCAAAATCATCTTAGTTGCAATTTTTTTACCCATAGAGAAAAGCATAAGACTTCAAGTTATACACATGAAGCTACAGCTAGCACCTCACGACCCCAGTGCTTTCTTAGTCGTATCTCAGTTCTAATGACAGTGAAAACAGTCATAATAATAAAGAGCGAGCTGAGCTTAAGAAGATGTCAAATTTTCACTGTTTAAAAAATGAAGATATGACAAGACAGCGCTACCTTGCACACCTCTGTGATAAGCCCAAATATAGATGACGTATTTCGCCATTTATTTTTGTCGTCTTCCGGGTTCCCCCAAGACTTTTGGGTTTCCCTCACCAGTAACTGTTGATTAGATCTCGTCATGTTGTTGTTTTTGTTGTTGTATTATTGGCGTTCTTATGAGGCCTGGGCTACGACACTAGATCTAGGTTTCATCGCCGACAGCTTGGGCTGTATGTCACATGTGTGTGTGTCTGTGCACGAGCTTACATGTGTGTATGTGTGTGCACGCACTTGTGTGTGTGTGTGTTTGCGCGTGTGTATGCATGTACGCGCTTCTTGTGTGTGCATGTGTGTGTGTGTGTGTGTGTGTGTGTGTGTGTGTGTGCGCGCGCACAAATTTGAGGAGAGAAAGATAAAATCATAGAACGAGAACTGCTGAGATTGTATATAAAAGATGGCCGCGGCTATTCGGACTCCAGTCCGAACAGCCGTGGGAGGCGATTCAGACTCTCAAGTCTGAAAACTCCAATGTGCGTGCGCAATCACTAGGAGTACCGGGTGTGAAGCAGACAAGCAAGTCGACCTTGGCTTTCTTCGGTTTCTACGATCTGGCCCAGAAACTTACAACAAATGGGCGCCGACCGTGGTGACCCAGTGCGAATTGTGGTCTTTTCTTAACAAAAAGGATAATATAATAATAGGGCCGGGCAGTGGGTAACGGTATGGGAGGGAATATATATGCGCATAATAAAGGGGAGAAAGTGGTTGGGCGGGCCTGGGGAAGTAAGATGGAGAAAGAAAAGGTAAGAGAAAGAGAGAGAGGAAAAGTAAGAGAAAGAGAGGGAAAAGTAAGAGAGAGAGAGAGAGAGAGACAGAGAGAGAGAGACAGAGAGAGAGATAAAGGGGAGGGGGGGGGGGCTGTCTTATAAGCAGTGTGGTGTCGCGTGGGTTGCAGACAAGGTGGTGCAATTGGAAAGTGAGCAAATGTACAATAGGCTTACTAACTATTAAGATTTCTAGAGAAAGTCATTAGAATCTGCAGGACATCCCGTTATCTACATCTATCGATATTTACAACTGTTTCTAGATGAAACTGCTGCTATAAAATCAAACAATACTCCACTTAATAACTTACTATGCTCACAATCTGGAAGATTTAAGATTTCTAATTACTTCGTGCAGCACCAGGACTTGTTACAAAATAGAGGGAGACAACAGTTTTAATACACCCATTCTTCATTCTAGAGTTACCGTAGACTCTACTACTACTAGTGGAGTAGATAGGCTAGAGGAAACTTGGATCAAATTTTTAGCTTGCACCAAATTGGTGCTGCGAAGAGTAGTTTCATGCACCTTTCTTCTTGTGCGGGAAGAACAAAAAGCTAGATTTCTCTACAGTGACAAAAATAACTTTGAAGATTTTGCTTGCTCCCAGCAGACACAGCCACAAGCAGAGTGCGACGAGCATAATCCATCCTCGCCATTTGTCTCAAGACTTGCGCAGCCAGTGGGTGACGGATCGCAAGGATGTGGTAATGTAGATCAAGAGCACTGACTGGTTAGGAACAATTAGAAAAGGGGGGGAGGGGGAGAAGGCCAGGGTTAGGTGGAGCGAGTGCACCAACTGCACCAATGGCGTCCCGCCACTGCTTATAGGGACAGATTATGAATTGTTTTGATCCCTTTGTAGTCGTGAAACGCATTGTAGTAATAGCCTACCATTAGTTAAGTCCGAATAGCAATTGGGAGACTATTTGCACTCGAGTACAGAGACCTCGCTTACGGTACAACCGGTGATAGCGCACGCGCACTGGAATTTGAGTCCGAATAGCCTCCAGGGGCTGTTCGGACTCGAGTCCGAATAGCCACTTCGATAAAAGATTTTATATATAACAGTCTGTGAGAGATCAATCAACTCTAAACTAGATCTAGATCTAGCGACAGAAGCCCCTGAGGACAACAAAATAGATGGCAGAAATACGCCATCTCTATATTTGGGCCAATCACAGAGGTGCGCTAGATTCTAGATCTAGAATCTAGGTGCTCGCTGCAGCTTGCAGAATATTCTTGAGTTATTCTCGCCTAACCTAATGAATGGTAACACAGAGACGTTGGAGAGAGACACACTTTACACGTACCTCTAACAATGGCCTTTACAGCATTCTCTTGAGTTGAAGATCTGAAATCCTTATGTTTGAAGACTTTGAGAAGCGTGTGTTGCAGTGTACTATCTTCCTCATCAGACATCTTCAATATCAAATTCAAGATCTCTTCTTTCAATCTCTTTTTGTCGACTTAACTGTCTTTACTTTTCAGAACAAGTCCACTACTGGACAGTCTCCAGTCTCCAGGATTAGACTAAATCAGGCTACCCAAATGATTGGCAACTATCAAAACATGTCAACACGTGGTTCCTCAAAGAGAATGAAGAAGACCCTAAGCCTTTTCTCTTATAGAAGACTAAGAAAGGCTGCGGGTTTTGGCAGTTCTATCTTTCAAGATAATAGATGAGAAACAAAATCGTTATCAATTATTATTACACATTACAGAACACACAAATGTCACGCACGACATGGTCTTAATCTACTTGCAGTCCGAACAGTTGAAAATAAAGAGATGTCGAAGTTCTCGTTATCATTTTATACTGCTGCTTTAACCCCCGAAGACTGCAAACAGTCGCATAATATAAGTAGTGAGTGAGAAAATGGCAAACGCCCTTGTTGATTTTTTGTGGGCCTAATTTTCCTACATATTTTCGGGGAACTATCTTCCCCTTTTCGACCCTATATTAGTTCCTAGCTTTCACAATGAGATTCCAGGAGCAATCTTAATCTTTTCGAACTTGGACTTAAAGGTTTCTAACAGTACAATGCGATTCAAACAGGTGAGTTGTCTTTGGAAGAATGTGTGAGTTGTCTAGGCATCGATTTGAGGGCCGTAATGGTGGCGTTCGCTTCGGTCGCAGATTCAAGTGCCCTGCTCCGCACAAGGGAGTGGCTTATTTGTCAAACGATTTCGTCTGTCGTATGACCAAACCGATTGCGTTTCATTTAATGATTAGATAATGCACGGTTTTATGTATATTTTTATCGTTTTGGGTGTTATTTCGGTTCCAAAACATTTTAGGTCCAATTTCCTTCTTGTTGACTGTTATCGTACCGATTATAATGGCAAGGCATCATGGTTTTAATTGATTTTGGCGTGGCAGTTTCAATCAATGCAGACGGTAGCAGTTGCAGTCCTGTCGAGTAATCCGTTCTTAAAATTGAGATTACAAAAGAGAATAAAGAATTGTTTTATTTCTTTGACAAAACAAGGGCATGTTATTGTCTTGTGCCTGATGCTAAACTTGTTAAATAATTTTGTAGTGTAGAAGTTCAAGGATAAAATGCACACAAGTATTGGGACACCTGCTGCTACTTTTGACAGACTGGATCAAATTCTAGATCTAGAGTCTAGACTAGACTCTAGATCTAGATCTAGATTAGTAGAATCTGTCTAGATCTAGATCTAGGCTAGTCATATTTTGTCATTGTAGTGTATTACCACTTGATTTCTAGAAATCTTGGCTAAATCTTGTTCTTGTCTGGGTGTTGAGGGTCGTTATAACACTGAGAAGAAAATGTTAAAATTGATTACTTAAAATGATATGATGAGTCATATTTTTTCAACAAAACTAGATCTAGAATCTAGATCTAGATCTAAGGTAGGCCCCTAAAGGAAGAAAATGATGCAAATCTTCTCGTAACAACTGTGTTGTGCCATACAAATTATAATGGTTATTTCCTGTCTTCCTTGAACCAGAATATTAACACACACAATTTCATTATATGAATGATCATGTGAAGAATTGAATAGATCTATTTCTTTGTTGTGCAGCCTACAAAATATATTTTGGACTTTTTGACAAGTAGGCCTATTCATTGAGAAATTGAATTGATGCATGGCCTCTGCTGTATCTTACAATTTTGTTTTGAGCTTGGTTTGGGACTTTTTGAACTTTTTTTTCCTTTTGATTCATATTTTGATTTCTCACTTTGATACTTGGTTAGATCTATTGGTAATTTTTACATGGGCCTGTCTCATGCTGAGATTTTTAAAGCACTTTTCTTGTTCAGTTTTTTTCAGATTTTTATAGATCTAGAAATTTTGACTTTATATAAAATTATCTGCAAATAATTAGTTTTTATGAGATGTATGGCATGGATAGATAAATTTTTACTTTCACTTCAGCACTCAGATGCACTGCTTTGGGGGTCAAACTGCAGTACTGTTTGCTGCAGATCACACATAAAGCCTGTAAAACTGGAACAAATCAATTATTTTCAAGAAATGTTTAAACTGTAAAATATCAAATTATGGGTCAAAACAGGGAAATGCTCCCCTGTAAACCCCCAGATTTTCTTTTACCCAAGGGGGCACCCCCGATTGGTCCAAAGCACATTTATCTCTATTCCAAAACCATCAGATATTTCAAAAACTATTAATTTGCAATGGAAATGAAGTATAATCATGCTCAGCGCATCATATATTATAGTAGAAAATGTACATATCATCATCCAGTGCCTTGCTGACTGGCATGGGCAATCCTGGACCTCCACTTCACTCTGTCTTGCGTTGCAGCAATGGTGTCTGTTGTTCTTGCTGCTCCTAGCCATGTTGTCATCTTGTCCAGTATCTCTTTTCCCTCTGTCTGCCTCTGCCTCTCTTTCCATCAAACTTGCCTGTTGTTACAATATTCTCCAATGCTTCTTTCCGCATTGTGTGTCTGAAGAAATTTGCCTGTCGCTTTCTTATATTCGTCATAAGTTGTCTTCTATAACTTGCCTCAACCAAGATTTCTTCATTTGTTTTTCTAGCTCTCTATGGATACGTAGCATGCGTCTTATAAATGAACCACAACTGTGTCGCCACAATGGTTCTTTCCAGCTGTTTATTGATTGTCCACGCTTCGCACCCGTATAAGGATTGGCTCAAGAATGTAACTTTTCAGTACTCTTTTTCTCGTTTCCAGTGACAGATTGATGTTTGTTAGTATCTGTTTCATCTTGTAGAAGGTTGCTTTTGCTTGGCAAATGCGGCTTTTAATTTCGGTGTGACATCTACCATCTAATGATATAATATGGTCCCCAAATATTTAAAATGTTGTGCTTGCTTGAGGGCGGTATTTTGATGTATATTGCATGTTGGGGTTGGAGTTTTTCTGCAATGGACAGCTGGTACTAAATGTGAGACAGGAGGGAAAGTAAAAAAATACCTCTATGGATTTTTATTTAAACGAACAATATTACTATGAAGGATAATAGGACCAATGGCGTATTAATATTTTTGTTTTTAACGTTCACCAAACGTGATGGGTTTCAGCCCAGGGGGGATGCCCCCCTGTATTTCACCATAATTTGATGTTTTTCAATCAGGTTTGATTGAGTTGATTTGCAAGGGTTTTAGTAGCCAATAAAAATAAAAGAAGAGAGAGAGAGATCTATGTGTGTGTGTGTGTTCTGCAGTTAAAATTACTGATCTGTTTACCCCTCAGAACTGTTTTCATGCGCATGTGGATCTAGTCTAAAAATTTTATTTTACTTTTACTACCGCCTCATGCTCAGTATGGTTTAGTCCTTTTTTTGTGTGTTCTTTTTCCGTTTTACGTATATGTAAAACATCGACTTTATATATAATTGAAACGTTTTTGAAATATTTGATGGGTTTTATTCTCTCTATATTTCTCTTTGTCTAAAGCCTAATTGCGGAGTAATTTCCGTTACTTGAACCTATCTAGCGGTTTCCAGGGGGCAGCACCACCCTCCCCTGGTGTAACAAAAAATTTGAGTGATTATTAAATTTAAACAGGGGGGTTTGCCCCTCAGTTTTTTCCCATAGTTTGCGGTTTTAGATTTTCTTGAAAATAAATGATTTGCAACAGTTTTTTTTAAAAGGGAATTTACTTTCACACCTCCCTGTATCATGTTGATGTTCAGATAGAAGCTTGAAAACTATAGCTTTGCACCGTGTTCTGCTGCCAAAAATATGGCAGTAAGCCTCCAACATCAGCAGTAGTATACGTGTGTAGATGTGAATGTAAAATTTTTCTTATTTTTAAAATATTGTGCATAAACACAGGCAAATAATGTCATTATAATGCTTTATAGTTGTCACGTGTGCTTCTTTCCAAATTTCAGTTTAAAATGTTGTACTCTGTACAAAATCATGGACCTTATTTTCACTCCTCTACATGCAGA